TTCTTTCTTTCTTTCTTTCTTTCTTTCTTTCTTTCTTTCTTTCTTTCTTTCTTTCTTTCTTTCTTTCTTTTTGTCATTTTGACCCAAATACCAAGTTAAAGGATGAAGGATTGATCTGTGCTCATGAGCTCAGGGTGTCAGTTCACAGTTGCTTGTCCCCATGTGCTTGGACAGAGTGTCATGGCACTGGAAGTGTAGCTTAGAAGAGCTGTTCACTTCCTGGCTGATGGGAAAGTAAAAAGCAAGACAGGAAGTGGCCAGGGGTAATGTATCTTCAGCTATCTGTCCCTTACTGACCTACTTCCTCCAGGTATGCCCTACTCTTAAAGTCTCCACAACTTCGCCATAACAGTGCTGCCATCTGGGGGGCTAGTTTTCAAAACATGAGCATTGTGGGAGCAATTTGTATTCCAACTCTAGCAGTAGGGTTTAGAACTACACAGACTCGGGATTGAGTCACATTGATAAAGTTTTCAACATATCACTTTTAGGCCTCAGTTTGATTACCTATAAAATGGGGATAGCAACAGTCTCTGCTTGCTGTGGTGGCTAAGCAGATCAAAAACGTTTTATGGTCCAGGAAACACTGTCCAAAGACAATCTGAATTCAGTGTCTTCTTTATAAGGCTGTTACTATCTTTCCTCTCAATTTCGGCAGCTGATGGAGGCAGAAGATGCTGCTTCGGGCATCGTGGAGGTACCAAGAGCTCTCTTTAAGGAGGTGTCTCTCTGTGATTTACGGAAAGAATCTCGATTCAATGCTACAGTCCTGAAGGAGAAGGAGCTTCGCAGGAGCCAGGTAGGACTGAAGTGCTCACAGATCGATCCGTGTTTCCTTCTGTGGTGCTGAGGATGGCCTCCCACACGGCAGGTGAGTGCGATTCCCCGGAGTTACATCGTCAGCTCTGGGCGAGCATTTCTCATTGTCTGTTTTTATCTGCTTAGGGTCAGTTTGATAAGGACACTTTATTTCTTTGTTAATAAGCCCAGGGAATAGAATAGTGCATGGTTAAGAAGCTAGACAAGGCGTGAGGATGAATTCTGGCTGCCATTTATTACCTCTGACAGGAGAAGTGACAGCTCCTTACATGGCCTCTGTTGTCTTATGAGCAAAATGAGGATGATTACAGGCAACAGTTGTGGTGTAGGATACAGCCTGAGAGCAGCGTGCTGTAACTGTTATCTACCACTCTACTTATGGTTAGATATTTCCAGCATCTAGGCTGTTTGGAAAGGATGGTGCTGCTGAGACCGATCCTCGCCCATGGAGCCTTCTGTTGAGTCAGCCACTTACATTCGCTTGTGAAATAATTTTGCGTGCATGTGAGGTATATATCTGTACATGTGTGTAGAGGTCAACCTCAGGTGCCTTCCCCAGTCACCTTTTACCTTGCTTTTTGAGTCTCTCAGCTCTTACCTAGAACTTGCTGACTAGATTGGCTTCTCAGATAGTCTCAGGGATCCCCCTGTCTTTATACCACCAGTAACCATGTCTTGCTTCTTTTCGTGGGTTCTAGGGACCAAACCCATGTTCTCACACTTGGCCCTCAGTCCTTATTAACTGAACCTAGCCATCACTCCTGAAATGTGTGTGTGTGTGTGTGTGTGTGTGTGTGTGTGTGTGTTCCATCTTGCTTGAGACAAGGTCCCTTGTTGTTCACTGAGGCATTCTTCCAGCTAGCCAGCCTAGGAGTTTCCAGGGGTTTCCTTGTCTCTGCCTCCATCTCCCCATAGAGGAATTGGGATTATATAAGTGTGCTACTGTACTTGGCTTTTACATGTGTTTGGAAGATACAAGTTCAGGGCCTCCTGCCTGTGTGGAAAGCACTTTACCTATTGAGCCATTTCCCCAGGCTCTGGAAATGTTTACTGAGCACAGACTTACCATGTTCCCAACACCACTTAGGAACCAGGAATGCTGAAGTAACAAAACAGCTGGACACCTCTGTGGGGTCTTTTATGAGGCTGGCTGGTGTTACAGCATTCTGCTGCCGTGTGACCAAACACTGCCAAGTCTAGCAGCTTGAATACTTGTTTTATTTTGGAAAACTCACCCTTCTATAGACAACCTTAAGGTATTTTTGTCTCAGCATCTGGGTCGATGGAGTTTTCATTTCTTGAGATTGGGAAGCCCATGGGGGAGGGTTCACTGATCTGCTGTCCCTGGAACCTCAGGGGCTGTACACAGAGCATTGGGAACTTCCTTCCATCCCAGATCTTTTTGCCCAGGCCTTTATGAGACTTTGAGGCCCTCAGCTGTCACATCCCAGAAGCCTGTGTCTAACTCTGGCTCATAATTTACTGCGTTCGGGGAATTACGTTCAAAGTTTTAGAGTCTATAAAATAGACAAATGTCACACTTGATCGTTTCTGCAAGTTAGGTATTCTGTAAAATTTCATTCCTTAAAACAAATGACTCCCCTGCCTATACTGTAGCATTCCGGAGTGCTCATCTGGGAGGGTTTGCGGGGAGTGTGTTCTGTGGGCATGAGCTCCTTTATTGATGTTACTTTCTGGGCTGTGCTGGTTCCATCATTGCTGCCGTGTGGGTTCAGGACTAGCAGGTGGGCACGCAAGGAGGGACCACACAGGGGCCTTCACAGGGCAGCAGCTTTGTAATGCTAAGGTAGTAAGGCTTCAAGCCTGCCGTTGTAAGCTTCTGTTTCTCACTCAGCCTTTAGAGCAGTGGTTCTCAACCTTTCTAATGTGGCAACCCCTTAGTACAGTTCCTCATGTTGTGGTGACACCTCCCCCCACCATAAAGTTATTTCGTTGCTACTTCATAACTGTAAATTTGCTACTGTTACGAATGGTAATATAAGTATCTGATATGCAGATGGTCTTGGGTGACCTCTGTGACAGGGTTATCCGACCTCTAAGGGTTTGAGACCCACGGGTTGAGAAGTGCTGCCTTAGAGGATGGAGACTCATCTGGAGTGTGGCAGGCTGTGCTCTGAGATTGCTCCTGACATGCTTTCAAATTCTGGCTCAGCCACTTAGTAACCGGAGGGCCTTGGGTTAGTAACATTCTGCGTTCAGCCTCTGCTTCTTCATCTATAAGATGAGGTCACAGTGTGCCTTCCCCACAGGGCCTCAGTGTGCTGGGCTCCCCCATTGTGGCCCATCTCTCTTTCCTCAGGCCCTGTTCCTCTATGAGCTTCTGGAAAAGATCACTGAAAGGCCCGAGGAGCTCCTGAGGTAGGACACTTTGACAGCCTGGTCTGAGCACCAATTTGAAGCCTTCTGCAGAGAAGCCTAACTTCAAAGCAGGGTCAGCTGAGCTGTGGGAAAATTCTAAAACCCAAGTGAGGGCCAGTGAGACGGCTCAGTGGGTTGAGGCACTCACTGCTAGGCCTGATGATTTGAGTTCAAGCCTCAGAACCATGTGGTAGGAGAAGAGAATCAGCTCCTGCAAGCTGTCCTCTGACATCCACATGCTTGCCACACACAGACATATACATGTGTGGACATGCACACACACATGCAATGAAAAAAATCCTCAAACATTCATACACAAATAAAACTGGATTTTTTTTGAATTTTTATTTATTTAATATACGTGAGTGCTTTGCTGCATGTACACCCATATGCCAGAAGAGGGCAGCAGATCCCTTTATAGATGGTTATGAGCCAGCATGTAGGTGCTGGTATTGAACTCAGGACCTCTGTTTAAGAACAGCCCGTGCTCTTAACTGCTGAGCCATCTCTCTAGCCCCCAGATATATATGTATGTGTGTGTGTGTGTGTGTGTGTGTGTGTGTGTATGTGTTTATTTATTTATTTACTTATTTATTTATTATATTTATGGGTGTTCTGACTGCATGTGTGGCTGTGAACCATATACATGCAGTACTTGAGGAAGCCAGAAGAGGGCATCAGATCCTCTGGGACTGGAGGTATAGATGGTTGTTAGCCACCATGAGGGTGCTGGGAATCAAACCCGGGTTCCCTAGAAGAGCAGCCAGTGCTCTTAACTGCGGAGCCATCTCTCCAGCCCTGAAATAAAAATTTTAGAAGCAACTTAAAGAAGGAAAATTTTTGTCTTGGTTCACAGTTTCAAGTGGAACACAGCAGTTCACATCACCGTGGGTCAGGAAACAGAGAAGGAAAGAATAATTAGCCACATTCCCAAAGACCTGCCCCCAGTGACCTACTTCCTCTATTTCTGCTCTGTCCTACTTCCTGTTCCTAGAATCTCCCAAAATAACACTTTGAGGATCAAACACTGAAATCCAGAGCCTGTAGAGACAGTATAAAATCCCATCATGACTTAGTGTTATTTAGCGTTCAGCCCGTGATGGGTGGGGCATGCGTTCTTGGGCCTCTTCCGTCTTCTCCCCTCTGTACCCTTTTCTCACTGGTCGTCGTTTTGTTTCCCAGCACCGGACAGCTGGTGAAGGGTGTACAATGCTCACACATTGATGCCATGAGTGCCCACGTCTTCCTGGCCCTCTTCCGGTATTTTGAGAACAACTTCTCCCTGCTTTCTCCAGACCAGGTACCATGGAGCATTTCCCCGCTTCTAGCCCTCTCCTGATGCCAGGGCTGGTGTCTAAAGAGATTTATAACAAAATTATACAGTTATAATATCGAACTGGGTAGGACCAGATATAGAAAGTAAATTCGCTCCAAGGTGGTACTCATCGTTTTGGGTGGATAACAGGTCTCATTCTAGGTTCCCTTAGTTGTGTTTTGTTTGTTTGTTTTGAGACAGGGTTTCTCTGTGTATCCTTCCCTTGAACTCACTCTGTAGATTAGTATGTCCTTGAACTCAGAGATATACCTGCCCCTGCTTCCTGAGTGCTGAGATGAAAGGTGTGAGCCACCCAGCTCATCCCTTAGTTCTTATCTATGAGCACAGAGACCTCTGTGCCCCCTAAGATACATGTAAACGTAAAAACACACAAACTCATACTCACAAAAATATAAATCTATATTTTAAATCAAAATAGTTGCATATGGGCCAGAAAGATGTCTTGGTAGGCAAAGGTGCTTGCTCTCAGGACCAGAAACTTGAGTTCGAAATTCTGGGATACACATGGTGGAAGAAGAGAACTGACTTCTGAAACTGTCTTCTGGCCTCTAAATGTATTCTGTGGCACACACATAAATGAACAGATACCATGAAAAAATCAAACCAGTCACACAATACTCTGATCTATTCACAAGCCAGGTGTTTGCCTTCCAGTGGAGGGATGTAGTTGCATCTCACTCTTTTGTACTCATAAATAAGATTGTTCTCACACCAAAATGTGTGTGTTTACCTTACTATTGTCTCAATTTCCTCAGCTATTAGTGTTTGAAGGAATGGTACCTCTACCACGAGGCTCTCTGTTACAGAAATGGACACTTACAAAGCATCGTCTGTGCGTTTGCTTTGACTATTGTTGCTGTTTATCTTGCAGGTCAATTGCTTGGCGTGGAAATACTGGGAAGTTTCAAGGTCCTCCATGCCACCATTTCTCTTGGCCACCCTCCCGTAAGTGGACATAGAGTCCCTTTCTGACTCAGTCACCAGATGACAGGGGTCTCCAGGGTGTGTGGTTCTTTCTCCCTGGGTTAAGGAACTAGAGGCAGGGTGGAGAATGCTGTAGACACCCCAGGACCTGAGAATCTGGGATACTCTGGATAGGCAGTGTTCCACATAGACTGTAAATTAGGACATGGGTAGGAGACTTGCTTTCAGACACGAGGTGCATTGCTGGGAGAGCCCACGCTTACAGGACGTCCCTGCAGTGGTGTCTGGTGCCGACTCTACCTCTGGTCTGGGGGTCAGTGCAAAGCAGATACTGCTTTCTGCTCTCCTCTGGTCTCTCTGTAGGTCTCGATTCCTGGCTTCAGTTCCTCCCTCTCGCTGTGTGCGTTTTCTGATCAGCCTGGGTAAGAGGCACTTGGACACCTTGGTTTTAGATTCTGACAAAAGGAGTTTGGTCATCAGGAAGGTGCAGCAGTGTTTGGTAAGAGAATTTCCTAGGAGACACTTTTTCTAGTGCCCTGTCTATTCTGTGTGTTTTTTACAGTCTCAGAGAGCTGTGGAGGGAATCTGGATGTGTGTGTGTGTTTGTGCATGTGTGTGCATGTGTGTGTATGTGTGTGTGTAACATGCACATGTGTGAGTCACAGGGAGCTGTGGAAGGGAATTTGATGGGATCTTGAGCCTGCAGTAATGGTTAAAAGTCTGACTTATGAGTCTTAGAGCTGGCACTGTAATCTTGGCCATTGGTTCTGCAGACTTCGATGTCAGAGAGAGAATGGTGGAGGACTGGGTTCTTTTCAAGCCAGCAATTGGTTCTGTAGCTCTAGCAAACCCTTCCCCCTCTGCGTCAGCATCCTCGTTGTAAGGTAGATGCAGAAGTCTATCTCTCTGCAGCTCTTGTGGGCACACAGTGGGGAATGCATGGCTGGGTTTCAGAGTCTCGGACAGAATGCTTGGGACCCTAGAAGTTTCTTTATTGTTACAAAGCACAAATGGTTGGTACTTAGAGTTCCTATGATGATGGAATGGACTAAGGCCGGTAACACTTAGCACAGTGCCTGTCTCATAGCACACATACTGTGGATGCCGTCCTTGGCATTTTGAGAAAGCTCTGGAGGCTCAAGCGATGCTTCGTATGTCATGCCATGATTATTTCATGTTGCTGCTGATGGAACCCACGGCCTTGTGCATTCTGGGCGAGTGCTCTAACCACTGAGCTTGTGCCCTGTTCTTGGTTATCAAACTCCATGGTATCCCTAGAACAATAACAATGCCAAATAGTCTTCATTTTACTGTGTGCCAAGCATGTGGTGGACTGGGTGTTCCTCAGCACCTAAGGCCTGCTTCCCTGGGTGGGAGAACTAAACTAAGTACCATTTTTGGTGGTCTGTAACAAGACAGGCAATTCTGATCCAGAAAGCGTTGTGGGGTTTGGAAATGGGGAGGGTTCTCATTTTGATCCCAGCTGGGCCTCCTCTCAGTAATACTTGTTGATTTCAGGGTGGTGTCATTGCTGATGAATACACGGTGGACATTGTGGGGAACCTCCTGTGCCACTTGCCAGCTACCTTCATTGAGAGAGGGATCTCACCCAGAGCTTGGGCCACTGCTCTGCATGGTCTCAGAAGCTGTACAGCTCTCAGCTCTGAGCAGAAGGCTGCAGTGAGGGTCAGGCTCCTGGAGCAGTGGGGGTAAGAGGGGTCCACTGGGCTGTGGGGTGTGGCTTCTCACTCTTAGGTGAGAACCGCCTGGCTCTGCTGATTCCTCTTCTCTGTAAAGAAGACCACCAGGCTAGGGAGAGGAATCTCCACTGACTCTGAATCTGACTTTTCTCCTTTTGGCTTCAGACTCCCTGCCGAGTAGGAATAGTTGGAGCTGGCAGCAGGCTCATGTGGTCACTATCAACTCATCTTAGTGTTTGTAGGGCAGGGAGAGTTTTGAAAAGATGGCACTTTGGGGGCCAGAGCTCACTGGTAGAGTGCTTGTTGCATAAGCTTGTTTCTGAGTCCAGTCTCTAGAAAATGTGCGAAAAAGTCACATGTGATGACATGTGCCATCGTCCCAGTACTGGGGGAAGTGGGGCTTGATGGCCAGCTCACCTCACTCACTGCCTGAGCTGCAGGCCATTGAAAGATACTGTCTCAAAATAGACAAGAGGTGGACAGCTCCTGCGGACTAACGCCCAAGGCTGTCTTCTGACCTCCACACATGCACATGTATGCACAGGCACTCACACACATGCACACACACTCACAAAGATACGGCACTTTAGTTGTAAGATATGGGCATTACATTATTTTGGAGGTTTCTTTCTGAATGCTGGGGATAGAACCCAGTGCCTTGTTCATGTTAGGCAGGTGCTTTTCCCTGGGCTGCATCCCTGGCCCTTGTTATTTTGAGACAGGCTTTTTCTATGTAGTTCCAGCTGGCCTTGAGGTATGTGGCCCAGGCTAGACTTGAATTGTGATGCTCCTGTGTCTACCTCCTGAGTGCCAGGATTACAGGCATGTATCACCGTACCTGGCAAGAGTAGTTTTTGGTTCATAGAAAAGTTGAGAGGAAGGTAGAGACTCCTGTGTGTCTCTGTCCACCAGTTCCTCAAGCAGAGTTCCCCTACATCATCCCCTACGACAGCTGTGGATTTATTCCAGTCCATGAGCTGTTGGTTTATTTCAAGCAAATTAACATCATTGTTGACTTTAGCATCCAAGATCCAGAGTTTACATGAAGGCTCACTCTTGGTATATTGCCGTTAGGTTTGGGCAAATGTATGATACCATATCTCCCATTAAAATAACATATTTAATATGATATCATAGTATCATATTAAGCCTTTGATCTCAGTACTCAGGGGGCAGAGGCAGGTGGATCTCTGAGACTGAGGCCAGCCTGGTCTACAGAGTGAGTTCCAGGACAGCCAGGGCAACACAGAGAAATCCTGTCATGAAAAGTTATTAACCTCCCCCCCCCCACACACACACATATATTGAGGCTGGCTCAGTGGAGAAAGCCGTTTGTAGCCAAGTCAGATGACCTGAAGAATTCGGTCTCTGGAGCCCACATGTTGGATGGAGATAATGAATTACTGTAAACTACTTTATGACCTTTGCACATGTGCCATGGCATGTGACTCCCATAATGTAAAAAAATAAAATAAAACTAAGCATATTTAATATTTTTCTACTCTTACTGGCCTCTGTCTGCCTAGTCAGCCCTCCATTCCCATGTCTCTGGTCAGCACTGATAGCTTTGTCTTCTCTGATGGTCAGGTAGTGGGAACATGCAGTATTTAGCCTTTTCAAATAGGCTTCTTTCACCTAATAATATTCATTTAAATTTTCTTCCTGTCTTCTCATGGCTTGATGGTTCACTTCATTAGCCCTGAATAATACCGCACTGTCTGGAGATGTCTGGGATGATTTATCCTTTCACTATCTGGAGGGCATCTCTATGCCTTCTGAGTTTTGGCCATTAAAATTAAAGCTGCTGTAAACATTCGTATGCAGATATTTTATGGACATAAGATTTCAAACCCCTTGTAAATGCAGAAGTGTGCAGTTGCTGGGTCATCTATGGTTTTGTAAGAAACCATCAAAATGTCTTTTACAGAGGCTGCCCCATCTTGCACTCTTACCATCAGTGAGTGAGAATTTCTCTCTCTCTCCATTATATTTTCCTTCATATACTGATGAGCTGGCTCATGCTTGTTGCTAAGGCTGAAGATCTGCATTTGATTTCCTGGATAATTTCATGAGAGGAGAGCACTGACTCCTTCAGATTGTCCTCTGAGTGCCACATGCCTGCTGTGATACATGTCCCACTTGCCAATAAATAAATGAATGTAACAACATTTTAAAAAGATGTTGAGGCTGGACAGTGGTGGCACATCCCTTTAACCCCAGCATTCAGGAGGCAGAGGCAGGCGGATCTCTAAGTTTGAGGCCAGCCTGCTTTATAGAGTGAGTTCCAACACAGCCATGTCTACACAGAGAAACCCTGTCTTAAAAAACAAACAAATAAAATGTCTTTAAGAAGATACTGATATGAAGCAGCAGCAGGAGCCTGGATGCAAGTGGATGTCAGCTCCCTGGTTTCAACAGGAGTTGTCATTTCCCATGTAGAATTTCCTGTTGTGGATCAGATATTTTAGTGGTACCTTACTGAGATAAAAACTTTAAACACATATTTATTTTTAGTTTTAGAGGTGTGTGTGTGTGTGTGTGTGTGTGTGTGTGTGTGTGCAGGTGCCCACAGATCCCTTGGAGGTGGAGTTACAGGTGATTGTGAACTGTCTGATATGGATGCTGGGACCCAAACTCTAGTCCTCCTCAAGAACAGGAAGTGCTCCTAACAGCTGATTAATCTCTGTAGCACCTTTTGTCATTTGCCTTCAGGTTTTTTTTTTGACAGGATTTTGCTCTACAGCCTATACTGGCTGGAAATAATTCACTATGTAGCCCAGGCTGGCCTCAAGCTTATAATCTCCTGCCTCAATTACTGTGTGCTAGGAACAAATATAGTGACAGTCCTTATTTGTCACAGGCATTTTGCTATTACCTAAGATGTAAACGATTCTTCTTAAAGTATTTCTTCCTATAGCTTTTTGGTTGTATGGTCTGGGAAAAGTTGCTTTATCTCTCTGCAGTTTTAATATTTGCATCTGTGAAATGGGGACAGACATAGTTAGATAAATGAACCTGTGACAGCACCTGATGTGTGCATTGAGTGTGCAGAGCTTTTTTCTAAGAGGACTGAAGATGACAGTGGCTTGTAAGATGGGTGTGGTTCCTGTCTTCATGGACCTCACAGTCTAATGAGGGGGTACTTTTGTAAAAGGGGTTGGGAGTGAGTTCAACTTTTGGTCCCGAGAGATCAAGAGTTCAGGTCCTGGCTAGGCTGTATAGTAAAACCCCATCAAACACGCACACACACACACAGACACACAGACACACAGATACACAAACACACACACACAGGCACACACAGACACACACCGACACATACAGACACACACAGACACATACAGACACACACCGACACACACACACATATGCACAGACACATATGGACACACACCACACACACACACACACACACACACATATATATATATATAAAACTCTTTGGCCAGCTTAAGGGAACTATCAATGCCAATTTGATTGCTCTCTTTTAGAGATATCATCAAAGATAAAAATTTTTTTTGGTTGTAGATTTGAGGTTTCCATGGGATTCTCTCTCTCTCTCTCTCTCTCTCTCTCTCTCTCTCTCTCTCTCTCTCTCTCTCCCCATTCACTTTATATCCCAATTGCAGTACCCCCCTCTTCCCAGTTCCACCCTCACAAACCCCTCCCCCATTACCCCTCCTCTTCTCCTCAGAGAAGGGGAAGTGCCCCTTGGGTAGCATCCTACCCTGGCACATCAAGTCCCAGCAGGACTAGGCACATCCTCTCCCACTGAGACTGGACAAGGCAGTTCAGCTAGGGGAAGGGGCTCCAATGGCAGGCAACATAGTCAGAGACAGCCTCTGCTCCACTTGTTCGGGGACTCACACGAAGACCAAGCTGCACATCTACTCCAAATGCATAGGGGGCCTAGGTTCAGGCCCTACATGCTCTTTGGTTGGTGGTTCAGTCTCTGTGAGCCCCCATGGGCCCGGGTTAGTTGACTCTGTAGGTCTTCTGTGGTGTCCTTGACCTCTTGGGCTCCCTCAGTCCTATCCTCCACTCTTCCACAAGCCTCCCCGAGCTCTGCCTGATGTTTGGGTATGGGTCTCTACATCTGTGTTCATCAGCTGCTGGATGAAGCTTCTCAGAAGACAGTTATGCCAGGCTCCTGTCTGCAAGCATAGCAGAGTATCATAGTGTTGGGTTGGCTCTCTCCCATGGGATGGGTCTCAAGTTGGGTCATTGTACACATTTATGATCTGTCTAAGTGGATTCTGAGTCAATGCCAAGTTCAAGAGATTTTTATTTGTATTTGTTTGTGTAAGACAGGACAGTTATGGTGATTTAGTATTTTGTTGAGGTATGGAAGGAGGAAGTGCTGTGTTATGTGGCAGAAAGTAGGGAGCTCAAGTCACACTAATAAAATAGGGGTTCTTTGGGTTCAGGAACAGAATGGGTGGAGAACTCCATGGGTAGGCTTCAGATATAGCTGGCTCCGTGGTCTCAGGGGTCATTATGGGTGTGTTCTTCCCACCCCTCACCTCACTGGGCCTTGGTGTGCACCTCATTTTCTCTGTGTGATGACAAGATTGAACTCTACTATCTTCTTTCATGGGAGAGATACTAGAGCAAAGAAGGAGCCTCATGGTAGATCCAGCAGAAGTCCCAGGGATGGCTCTGATTGGCCAGTCTGCACCAAATGCCTATTGTTTTCTGGTTTGTTTGTTTGTTTTTGGTTGGAGAAGTGAGAAGACTTGACTGGCTTCTAGGTGTGAGAGATGGTGGGATTCACTGGTATCAGATATCCACCACGAGATGGTGGGATGCACTGGTAGTTATCAGATATCCACCACGGCTACTTTCTCATCTTGCTTTTTGTATCTCTTCCTAGACCTCCTCAGAACTGGACAGCAGAGACAGCCAAGGACTTGGCACCTTTCTTAGCATTTTTCTCAGGAGATGAACTGCACATTGTTGCCACAAAGGTATTCACTGTGCCTTATATTAAGAAGGTGGGAGGAGTCTGAGAGGGAGAGAGAATGTGTGGTTGCTTATAACCTGTCAGTTTGCTGATGGAGTGAGTCTGTGGTTCTCGAAACTTCTACCAAACCTCAGACACCTCAGATATTCTCTGACTTCATCTCAAATTACCTAAGGCTCTAGGAAAGTGACTGATTGCAGCTAGAGGAACGATAGACCTTCCCTATGCAGATGTGGCCAGTGCAGCCACTGTTAGTCATCTGTCAGTCTGCTGCCTGTGAGCACCTGCACGCATGCCCGTCCTAGATCATATTCCCAATGGGGACAATCACAGGAACAAACACACATAATAAAACAATGGCTTTTTACCATGTGGACTTTGGATACAATGTAAAGAGTCAGAATCAAGCAGCATGCGAAACAAGCATGAGCCTGTCTGTCCTCCTCTGCCGAGTGCCCCTGTAGCTGTGAACAGGGTACACGGAAGAACAACATAAAAGGAGGAAGTTATTCGGACTCATGGTTTTGGAGGGTTGCTCAGTTGGACCATTGTGCTTGGGCAGAATCTCACAGAGGCGAGAGTGTGCGAGGGAGGCTGCTCTTCATGCCTGGCACACAGAAAGCAGGGTAAAAGAAATGCAGGAAGAGACCATGTTTGGATATAACCTTCAAGGTTCTGCACTCAGTGACTTACTCCCTCCAACTAGACCCCGCCTCCTTCCCTTTCACCACATTCCAATAAAACTGTCATAACATGAACCTGTCAAGGGAGTGAGGTATTGATTAGGCCAAGCCCTCATGATCTAATCACTTCTGGAAACCTCACAGACACGCAATGGTGAGCTTCACTCATCTAGCTGATTCTTAACCTAGCCAAGGAGACAGTCAAGGTTAATCGCCCAGGGGATAGTGGAGCCACACAGTCTTGCTGGCATTGAACAGTGCAAGGTTCTTTCTCTTGTCTGTATGCTAAGTTGGCTTCTGGGCCTGTTCATGGCTCTCCACACAAGGCAAGGCTCACACTTTAGAAAAAAGGAAGCACATTCTTCCGAGGACTTTGGCTGGACAGTGGCACACTGCCCCAAAGGCAAATTCCCTTCTGTGGAGGTGGAGGACATCATTTGGGTTAGATCAAACCCTATGATCTCAATCCATGCTTGCACACACAAGATACACAGTGTGACTGCTTGGTGGGATGTGAGCAAGGGCCTGCCACCCGATATCACATACTGACAGCATGTACGTCCAGCCATAGAAAAATAATTTGCTGTCTAAACATATAATCACAAGCACTAGATATGCAAGTATTATATGCAGATCTTATATTTTAAAAAAATCACTTGTGAGGTTGTAAAAGCCTTCTATCAACATGGCAAGACCTCCAAAACAGCTTGGAATTATAAAAATCCCTGCACTGTGAATGATTATGATGGTAGGATACTCAGTACATGAATAAATATTAGCTAAATTAATTTTGAGCGTGTGCAAAACAAGAGTGGTTCAGAAGTGTACATAAGAACAGCTAATGCTAAAACCAGGGTCATTGTTACATCTAGGAAAGAGCGAGGTGGGCGGGGGAGGAATAAGCCTGTCAGTTGTGTCTGTGATGTTTTATTTCTGAAGCTGCAGGCAGTGTGGGCATGTGGCTGCTTTGTTGGATTATTCTCTATGCTTTTAAAAATAAAACAAGATATACATACTTCTGGTTAAACAGATCCCGAATGTCCCAGAGGCTCTTGGATGAAAAGCAACCCCCTCATTAGAGACAGGCTCCACTCCCAGATTCCCAGTTTCTTTTTAGAAAGCCCTACACATGTGTGTGTATTCATCCCTTTTAAAACTAGAAAATGGAAAATCCCAGGCACTTAGCTATGCACTTTGCATAAAAAACAAAATAAAACAAAACAAAACAACAACAACACCCTGCAAGAGTCATGGGAATGGCTCTGTGGCTAAACACACTTGTTAGCAAGCCTAAAGACCTGAGTTTGAGCCCAGAGGCCTGCATGGTAGAATGGGAGAACTGACTCCCCACAGCTGTTTGCTGACCTCCACACATGTGCATCTCCTAAATGTTTAAAAAGTAAAAATAACTATTAATACAGCCACAAGGGGTGGGGAAGCATAGGGGAAGTGTATCCTTAGGTGATTTCCTCATTGAGCAAACACTGTAGATTAGAATTGTATCTAATCACTGTAGACTGTATTACACAAACTGGGAGCAACAGGTAGCATCATCTCTTGGGCTCACAGTTGTTATGTGACCCACTGCCCAAGAAGTTATCAAGCAGGACCTGGATATCCTTTCAAAAAACATCTTCCTTCCTTCTGTCCTTCCTTCCTTCCTTCCTTCCTTCCTTCCTTCCTTCCTTCCTCCCTCCCTCCCTCCCTTCCTTCCTCCCTCCCTCCCTTCCTCCATTCCTTCTTTCTTTTGTGTGTGTATATGTGCACATGTATGCATGCACATGTGCATGGGAGATTAGAGAATAGGGGAACCAGTTCATCTTCCACCATGTAGAATTCAGGTCCTTAGCCTTGGCACCAAATGCTTTACTCATGGAGTCTTCTTGCTGGCTTTTGGCTGTCATTTACATAACTGTTTAACAGCAGCGTTACCACACACATGTGGGACCATTATTGTACCTGTGGTCCATCCTTGACTGAAGGGCAGTTGACTATACAGTGTGTGAGTGTTGCAGAACCTTAGTGAACATTAGAATGAGCTAGGGGGAGCTGGCTTGGTGGCACAGGCTTGTGATCCCAACACTCTGGAGGTTGAGGCAGGAGCATCTAAAGTTCCAGGTCAGCTTGAGCTATGTAGGGAGACCCTGTGAAGAGGAAGCAGGAGTAAGGGAGGTATATCTCTATCTCTATCTCTATCTATCTATCTATCTATCTATCTATCTATCTATCTATCTATCTATCTATCTATAGTGGTGGTGGTGGTGGTGGTGCTAGGTGACAGTGAGTCATGGTCTCATAAAAGAGCCTGATGGATTTTCTGGGCTCTCAGGTAGGGCTCATACTATCTCAAGACTCAACCGAGTGGACTATTTCAATATGAGAAATGATACCTTCTACAGTGTCACCAAAGCTCCCCTATTGCCAGCCTCTGCCTAGAATTTATATGTAACCCTCCTCTGCCTATTTCTTTTTATTTTATGAGTGTGAGTGTCTTATCTGTGTGTATGTATGTGCACCACGTGCATGCCTTGTGCCTGGGAAGATCAGAAGAGGGCACTGCATCCCCTGGAACTTGAGTTTTTGCAGATAGTTGTGAGCCATCATGTGGGTGCTGGGAATAGGACCTGGGTCTTCAGAAAGAGCAGCAAGTGCTCTTAAACACTGGGTCATTTCTCTAACTCCCAAATTTAACCCCTTTAAAAAATAAATATAAAGCTAAAAATTAAAATAGTACCAACCCCAGAAATGATGTATGCAAACTTACATTTTTTTGTAGTTTTATCAGATTGCTTGGTGATAGTGTACTGCACGTTCAACAGTCCTGGAAACACACACATGTGCAGTCTCCACACCCGGTCCAGTATTAATTATTATCGCTTTATTTTTGGCAGTTTGATGGGTGGAAAGTGATGCATGCCTGTTATTTAGCATTTATCGTATTGCTGTGGAAGTCAAATATCATCTCAGCAGGATTCTTTATTAGATACATTAGTTGGATGAGGGATTCAATTTATACAACAGGCTATTATGAAGAAAAAACCCACCTTTAGGCATTAAGCGGTAATAGAGTTTAAACTCTGATTTAAAAGCATCTCACATGTCTTTTTTTTCTCTTTTTCCTTTTAACTACAGTTTCCTGAAATCCTTCAACAAACAGCTTCCAAGATGGTTGGTATGCTGCTTCCTAAAGAATTTCTCTGGGCTGTCTTTGAGTCTGTTCGGAATCGCAGTAATGAGAGCCCCAGCTTTGACCCCACCTTCGGTGAGTGTTTCTAGGGTGTCTGACCCTGCATCTAGGGTGGTATTATTTTAGGTTGAGTTTGTGACATAACAGAGTTTCCTTGTCAAATGGCAAACCCCACGGGTCAAAGAATGACAGTTCCGTAACATGATTTGAAATCAGGTGCCAGGCTTCAAGGCTTGACGAGTGGGCATGTGACAAGCATTTCAATAGGTATGGCTTATGTTTGGTTTTTTTTTTTAAAGATTTATTCATTTTTATTTTATGTATCTGGGGAGTTTTGCCTGCATGCCTACATGTACCACATGTGTGCAGTGCCTTCAGAGACCAGAAGAGGGTGCTGACACACTGGAACTAGCGTCACAGATGGTTGTAAGTTGTCATATGGGTGCTGAAAATTGAACCCAGAGCCTCTGAAAGAGTTAGTGGTCTTAACAGCCGAGCCGTTCTCTACAGCCTTAATTTGGCTTATTTTAAAGGTTCAACCTAGCTTAGCAGCTCAAGGGTACCGGTCGGTATGGTTTGAAGACTCTTAAAGACATTGTGACTTTCCTCAAAGCCCTTCAGGTTTCCCATCCTGTTCTTCTGTAACAGTCAGGGTTTCTCTCTGTAGCCCAGTGGGTTGCAGCTCACTGTGTTATCCAGGCAACCTCAAATTCTCGTCCCTCCCGCAGCAGCCTCTCTAGGGCTGGGATTATAGGTGGGAGCCACCAAGCCTTGCTGTGTCCCAGGTTTCAACCTCTAAAGTGGGGTCATGTGAACTCTGGACTGCAGTGGTCCTTGTTAGGGTTAACAAGTTTAAACCTCCCTAGTTTCCAAAGGGTGTGGCATGTAAGGAATTATCAGAAAGTATTTTTTTTTCCTTATCTGAGATGGTCTGGCTATGTAGCCAAGGTTGGGCTTGAACTTTCAATCCTCTTGCCTCAGTTTCCTGAGTACCAAGACTACTTGGTGTATCACCATTTTTATAATCTGTAGTGAGTTCCTGGTAAATATTGACTCTTACTTGCACAAGGTGGGCAGAGTTAATCAGAACTGGAATTGATAGTGACAGGGACAGCAGTGGCTGGCTGTTGTTGCTTACTTGCTTAATTCAGAGTGAGACTTCCTTTTGGTATGGTTGTTTTAGGGTCACCCATGCTCTGAGAAGGACCTCACCTATACTCTAAGTAAGCCCAATAAACTCTTTGTTTCTCCAAGTTGGACTTGGCTGGAATTCCACTGTAGTTTGTGTTGGAGCCCTATAAGGAAGGGTAGACATTTGTTTGGGTCTTCCCGCCAAGTGTTCCTGCAACACAGGCTGTCAGTGACCCTACGGTTCACAGATTTGGCAAGGCTAGGTGGTCAGCAAGGCCCCCCCTCCATGCTTCTGACTCTGCTCTCCTAGCACTAGGATTCCAGGCGGATCCCACCTTCCCAGTTGCATTGCGGGGAAGCCTCTTGGTGGATGTGCACAGCCAGGTCACACACAGGTACTATGGCAGAGGTGGTTACCCAGCTCCCTGCTGTCAGCTTTCGTAGCGCCCTGCCTCTTGTGAATGGATCTGACTAGTGAAGACTATTAAGAAAGCATGGTACACTCCCCGCGGTTCTCTTTCCTCTGTCACATTCTCACATCTGTGCACATTCCCCAGGTTGTCATGGAATTGTGACTCCTTCTTCAGATGATATCTTCAAGTTGGCTGAAGCCAATGCCTGCTGGGACCCTGAGGTCCTTCTCTGCATGGAGGAGGACACTTTCATCAGGAATGTTGAACTGCTGGGGGCTGTGAAGGGTTTCAGCCGGCCTCAGCTGATGGCCCTGAAAGAGAAAGCAATCCAGGTAAGCCCACCCTGGGAAGGAAGCTCACCAGAAACCCAAACAAGCAGCCAGTATCCAGCTCCAGCCTCTCTGTGCTTATGAACCCCTTGAGGCCCTGTACCCATATCATTTTGTTGAAATTTAGTAGTGTGGACCATGATTTCCTCATCTGGGAAATGGGTACATTGTTGGTCCCTCTGTTCTAGGGCAGAGGCAGAACACAGATGATGCATGTCTGGACCAATCACAATCTCTGTATATTCTGACCTAAACTGCTTGCAAGAATGCTACCTTTGTCTCCCCTCTTGGAGAACCCTAACAGCTGTCTGCAGCTGGCCTCCTCAGTAGCTGCTGCGGAGTCATCCGAAAGCAGGAAAAGGGTGTGAAAGAGGTTAGATGTAGTTAGTCATTTTAAAAATATTCCCTTTGAAGGACTGGGGAGAAGGCTCAGTGGTTAAAGCACTGTCCTTGAAGGTGTGAGGACCAGAGTTTGGAATCACAGCACCCAAGTTAAAGCAGGTGGAGTGGGGCCCATTGTAATCCCAGCTCTTCAGAGGGAATGCCTGGAGCAAGCTGGCTTAGCCCAAAAAGACAAACCAGTGAGCTCTGGGTTCAAGTGAGAGATTGCCTCTCTTATAATAGTGGTTCTCAATCTTCCTAATGCTTTGGCCCTTTAATACAGTTCCTCATGATGTGGTGACCCCTCAACCAAAAATTTCATTGCTGCAATTTTGCAACTGTTATGAATCTTAATGTAAATATCTGTCTGGGTTGTGTCTGCAGCTCTCAGAACATGCAGATACAAGATACCTTGCTTCACATTCTCTGTTACAAAAATGATATCGCACTCATTATTCAGTAACTTGTCTTCCACAAGCAATGTGTTTTTCTGTATCAAAAAGATAAATATACACCAGTGTTCTGTGACTGGTCTTTATTTAGCTTGCCTCAAGCTTTCGATCCTTTGAGATTTTTATAAGTGCTTCATGACAGCCAGCTTTCCATTGCCGTGACAGAGTACCTAAGTCAAGACAACTTAAAAAGAGGAAAGGTTTACTTTGGCTCATGGTTTCAGAGCCTTCAGTCCATGGTCAGCTGGCTCTTGGTTTGGGTCTGAGGTAAAATAGAATATCATGGTAGAGAGGGCATGATGAGGCATAGGTGCTCACACATGGCTGACGGAAGAGGAGAGTGATGATGACAGACAGACAGACAGACTCTCTAGTATTCTTCAAAGGCTTGTGCCCACATGACTTTTTTCTTCCAACTAGTCCTCATATTCTAATATTCCATTTAGTTGTAAACTCATCAGTGGATTGAGCTCTCAATGGGGTTAATGTCCCCATGGCCCAGCCACCTCTCCATAGCAACCACCAGCTTAAAGCCAAGCCCTCAACAAGTGAGCTTTGGGGAAGTGCTTCATGTTCAAGCCCTAAATAAGCCTTTGTACATTTTTGAACATTTGCCTTTGAGCACTCGTCTCATAATTTTCTAAAGCTAATTTCCCAGAGGTGGAACCCTCCCCCCAGAAAGACTACCAACCTCTGCAAGGATGTTGGCATGGATTGGTACAAAAGCTTTGTGTGTGTGTGTGTGTGTGTGTGTGTGTGTAATTCACTCTATGTCTGCACTGCTATAAAATACCTTATATTGGTTAACTTATAAACAACAGAAATGTATTTCTAACAGCTCTGGTAGCTAGGAAGTCCATGATCAAGGCTCTGACAGATTTGATGTCTGGTGAGCATGAATTTCTCTTAGGTGATGGCTTCTCACAGCATCTTGCCTTCATACAGTGGGAGTGGGTTGGGAGCTCTCAAGATCGCTCTTACAAGGGCAGAGATCCCATTCATGAGAGTGGAGTCATTTTCTAGTACCATCACATTAGGGAATAGGTCTCAGTGATGGATTTTGGGAGGATATTAAGTAGAGACCACAGCAGGTCACTAATATGGTCTGCTCTGTTTTCTCCTACATAAAGGTTTGGGGCTCACCCTTCCACTGGAAAGAACACCATATTGTCTCCCTGGGACGTATTGCTTTGGCTCTTAGCGAGAGTGAGCTGGAGCAGTTGGACCTCAGCTCCATAGACTCTGTGGCATCCCTGGGCCTGCAGACAGAATGGACCCCAGGACAGGTGGGTAGATGCTCCTGGGTCTTTTACAGATTTCTTAATTGCTTATGCTTGACTTTGCACCCCTGAATAGATTTATAGTACTTATGATAGCTTCTTTTATATCTCTGTTAAAGATTCCAGCATCATTCTTGTTTCTCAGTCTGTTTGTTTCTTCTTTTCTAAAAGACAGTTATTTTTATTGTTAAAAATTTCTGTGTGTGTATGTCATGTGTGCAAAGATACTCTTGAAGGGCAGAAGAGGCACCAACTCCCCTGGGGGTGGTGATGAACTGCCTGATGCATGTGGCTGGAATTGAACTCTGGTCCTCTGGAGGAGCAGCAACTACCGAGCCACCTCTCCAGCTCCTCTCAGTCTGTATCTGTGGACTGATTTTCTTCTAGTTAAGGGTTATACTTATTTGAAAACCTAGCAGTTTTTCACTTGCTCTGAGCCAAAGGCAGGGGAACTTAGTAATTTGGTCGGGTTGATGAGCATTGATAACTTTGCACCACTAAGAGTGTCATTTAGGTGCCTGACAGTGGTGGTGTGTGCCTGTCATTCCAGCAACTGGAAGGCAGAGGCAGGTAGATCTCTGAGTTCTAGAACAGCCAGGGCTACACAGAAAAAAAAAGCCTTGTCTTGAAAAACCAAAATCTAGGCTTTGCTTTGCTCTGAAGTATATGTGTTTGCTAGTAATTTTTGTCTTTTTGTTGAACCCTCTTGAGCTTTATTGGGGTTGGGTGATCTTTACTCTGTGGGTTCACTGAGAAATGGTTCTTCTGCAGAATATTCCTATTATGGATGTATTACCAGGTCTCTCCACTCTGGCTGGAGGGGGAGAAAACTTCTTTCCAACTCTACATGAACTTTAAGAACTGCTTAGCCTGCCCCCTTCTCCTGACTCTTACCCTCCAAGTGGTTTCATTCCCGGCATCTGGATATGTGGAAATGAGGACTCGGCACTCAGGAAGACATCTTTGCTGATCTCTAGAACTCTCTCTATACAATTTCCTCTTTCTTTGCCCCTGAAGTGAGCGTACTTTGGCCTTCCTGAACTTGGACTTCTCTCTCATCTTTTATAATCATTTATAGAAAAACCCAGATTGTCACCTCTGTGAGGCTACTTTTATGGGAAGAAAATATTCTAAGAATTTGATTTCATCTCTCTGGGGACTATGCGTGATATTTATACTGGCTTAGGCTAGATCCTGGGCACAGAAATTGTATCCATAAAAGATGACTAGCGCATATTTTTTTCTTTAAAAATATATGGTTATACATGCATGTTTTATCACATAATAAATATGTATTGAATAAGTGAATGCAAAGATACTCTCATCTTCTAGAGGTCAGCAGAAGTGGGTTGCTTGGTCAGTGCTGAGATTTGAACTGGTGGAGAGAGTAGCAAAGGTTGCCTTTTTGACCAACCTTTGGTTGGTTGCTAGGTTGACTTTTTGACCTTGGATCTCTGTCTTCAATGCAGCTAGACCCCTGGGCTCCACTGGTCTTTCCTAACTTCTGTAGAAAGCGCCTCTGGGGGACAATTTTTGGGCTCAGTTTTTGTTTACCTGTTTCACGAACACCCTTACATGCTCCTTGGTTTTTCAATATTTTAGTGTCATTACTTTCTATATTTTGTTTGGTTTTCTAGTTGTTGATGACAGGTTGAAAGTCTGTTTGGTTGTTGATCTCCTGTGGGTTAAAGATGTCCTCCCATCTTTTAGTTTTGATTGGGTGAGGCATTGGGGAATCTAGTTACAACTACCCCTGTGTTAGCTTCATTCTTGGTCAGCTGCCCCTCCGTGGTTATTTTCAGCATTATGAGCAACTCCATCAAAGTGTGTCTCTGCTTCGTTTATTATATCAGAAAGTCCTGCTGTCAACTCCATTCATATGGTTGTTCAGCTCTGAGAAGCCACTCCTATCTGGGGTAGAATATGCTGATTGGTGATACCTGCTACAGTAGTGGAGTCTCTGTCTGTATGAATACATGGTGATCGGAGAGTGAGGGAGGGTGTGTGGAAGACAGATTTAATCCTTTCCACAAAGATCTTCAATTTGCGTTCCTAGAACCTATAAGTACAATTTGTTTCATTGGAGGAAGGGGTTTTACAGATGGAAGCCCTTTAAAGATCTTGAGATGGGGGCTGGACAGATGGGTCAGTGCTTGAGAACACTTGCTGCTCTTGCAGGTGACCCAGGTCTGGTTCCCAGAGTTCACAATGTATGGCTTACAACTGCACCTTACTCCAATTCCAGGAGATCTGATTCTTTCCTGAGGCATCCCACAGGTGCTTGCACACATGTGGTACAGTATGTACACTCAGGCACACACCCATACATGTAAAAAAAGAGATGTGAAATTACCCTGGTGGGTCCAATGTGACCACAAGGAGCTTTATATGAGGGAGCCAGGATGCCGCAGTCACAGAGGGGGATTCAATGCTGAAAGTGGGGTTTGTATGTGTGTGTGTGGGTGTGGGTGGTGGTGGTGGTGAGAACGGGATGGGAGAAGCAGGAGAGAGATGGGTTTGTAATGCTCGGCTGAAGGCTTTGAAGATGGAAGATGTGACCAGGAAAGAACTAACCAAGGAAAAAAACTAACTAGGAGTTAGGAAAAGAGAGGAAGTGCAGTCTTTTTAAAGCTCTCAAATGGAACACACCCTACTGATTCCATTCAGGACTGAAGGCCTCTGGAATTGTGAGTGAATTCACCTGTGTTACCACCCGGTGGTAATTTGTAACAGTAGCAAGAGAACTAAAGCAGAGTGGTGGAGGGAGGGAAAAGTAGGGTGTTGTCAAACCAAAGGGGGATAGGTGTTGGGGCAAGACCAAGGCGTGAGCTCATCTCTTACAAGGTTTACATAATCAGAGTTGTGATGTCCCATGATCCTGAGCGGTACCTTTTAAATACAGCAAGGTGTGAATCATGTCTGGCTCAGAGCAGGGCAGTATGGAGATCCTGGCCGTGGGACGTAACTGAGTTAAAAAATGAAATGTGTTGAACAATGACAATGTAAAAGTCAACTTTTTCAGTTACTGCTCGGTCAGTTACTTTTCTCACTGTTGTTTCAAAGGACCCCAGAAGAAGTGATTTAAGGAAAGCCGGGTATGTCCTGGCTCACAGTTGGAGGGGACACATTCCATTCTGGTGGGGAAGGTGCGGCTTCAGGCATGGAAAGCGTGGCTGCACGAAAGGGAGGCCCGCTGGACACACTGAACGGGCTGTCAGGAAGCAGAAGGCGAACAGGAAGTCAGGCCAGGCTGTAAATGTCAAGGTTCACTTCCCAGTGACTCACTCCTCTAGCAAGGCTCCAATCTGTAGGTTCCACATCCTTTCCAAACAGTGCTACAGCTCAGGGACCAAGCGTTCACACAGATGACCTATGGGGGACACTTCACGTTCTTCTTGTTCTTTTCAGCCATTGTCCTCAGCATCCGGTGTCACCAGCCCCAGTCGCCTCCCTTTCTCTGAGTTGGTTTCCTTGTTTGAAGAATGAAAAGGCTCAAACTCAACAAACTCAAGTTCCTTCGACTAACATTCTGCAATCCCGTGGTTCTCTGGCTCTAAAACTGGTTTCGACTAGTTTGGGAAGTGCCACACTCCATTCCTGATATTAAAATGATTTTATTTGCAGCCTGGAAGAAACCGAAAAATAGATCTAACTTAGAAGCTAGAGCATCCCTTTCCCCGTGTGCCAGTTTTAATTCTCTCGGATGGCAGGGAGATATATCAATATGTTTGAAAAGGATATGAAAACGTAACATTTGCATATATCATTTGCCATCAGTTCTTCCACTTCAGCCTCCAATCAAACCTTTAAATGCATGCTTCTAGATTAATAGTCAGACCTGGAGGAACTACATTAGCAGATAGTTCAGCTTAAAACCTAATGTAAGGGAGGAAAAAAGCCATTATAGAAGCCAGAGGGATGAACAGAGAGACTGAAGTTTTACGGCTACTCATTTTTCTGTGGTTAATATTGCCTACAAGTGTTGGTATTAATTGTCTCAGAATCATTACATATACACTGGTCTAGTCGTTCAAGGAGATATATTTTAACGTATCACCTTGCAGGCTGAGTTTGCATTTTCTGGGTCCCAGGTGCAAGGACACTTTAATACCACATCTTCAAAGCAATTTTATCTGAATTGTAATTTTGCACTTTCATTTTTAAAACGAGCATCCACGTTTGAGGAGCACAAATTGCCATGAGTCAACTAGTAAAATCTGATTGTGAAAACTTAATAAGAAAAATTCAGCACATGGGCACACCACTCTGAATGAGCTGATCTTGTCTGATCGTGGAGGCTAGGCGGTGTGGGCCCTGTCTAGTGTTTGACTCTCTGGGGATACTGTTAAGTCTCCATTTTTTTTTCCTCCAGAGGCAAACGTTTTTATTGGCTAAGATGACTGTGGTGTCTTGCTGCCTGGGTGTTAAATTTTCAAGTGTGTGTGTGTGTGTGCGCGCGCGCACGAACATGCACGCTCTAGGTTGGCACTGGGAGTCTTCCTCATTCTCTTCTCTCCATTTTATTCAGGGTTTCTCAATTGAACCCAGACTTCACTGATTTGGATGATCTAACTAGCCACCTTTCTCTGGGGATCCCTGTCGGTGGCATCAGAGTGCTAGAAGTACAGGTGGGCTTCCGAGCTGACCTTGATCAGTGCCATGTATGCCATAATTAATGTGGCTCATCTTCACACTTGCATGGCAGGCCCTGTGATCCATGTCCCCAGCCTCTGTTTGGGTTTTTGCTGTAGAACCATTAGTCTGTAGCAGAGTAATATTGTTTTAGGCCCTTCATACCTCAGTGGGTTATTGGATAGAGGAATGATATCAATATTTAGCCAATAGGGTTGTGGTGAGGAGTGGATAAGACAGAGTGGATAAAGTTGTCCAAGGGGTACAGCAAATGCAGGGTACTCAGTATGACAGCTTTTGTCGCTCTGTGTGCATATTACCATTCAGTCAGATGTGTGCAAGCTACAGTCAGTATTCTAAACTCATCTGTAGTCGCTAGTAGCTATGTACCATTGAGGGTAACTCATCAGTGGCCAGTTTGTTAATTTCTTGTTGCTGTAACAAAATACTCAATGCAAATAACTTGAAAGAGGAAAGATTTATGTCATTCATGGTTTCAGAGGAGTTGGGCCATGGTGCTTGGGCAGAATGTTATGGTGACAGGGGTGGGTGGTGGAGGACGGTGCCTCATTTCATGGTGGACTGGATGCACAGAGTGAGGAAGGCACTGGGGCCAGGTAGAACACTGAAAGGCAAGTCACAATAGTCTACTTTCTTCAATGAAGACCCATCTTCTAAAGTTTCCACAACCCTTCAAATGAGTGCTACCAACTGGGACTCAAGTGTTTGACAGTGGACATTTCATATCCACAAGTGTGTCTTGTGATGGCATAAAGCTGATACCTTTTCAGAGAAGCATGTCTTTTTCTATGATGTCTGTAGCTCACACACTGGAAGGGTCATTTATGCACACAGTCAATCACAAAGTATTGTCTTAGTTAGGGTTTTGCTGCTGTAAACAGACACCATGACCAAAGCAACCCTTATAAGGACAGCATTTAATTGGGGCTGGCTTACAGGTTCAGGGGTTCAGTCCAGTATCATCAAGGCAGGAGCATGGCAGCATCCAGGCAGGCATGGTACAGGAGGAGTTGAAAGTTCTACATCTTCATCTGAAGGCAGCTAGCAGAATACTGACTTCCAGGCAGCTAGGATGAGGGTCTTAAAGCCCACACCCTTAGTGACACACCTACTTCAACAGGGCCACACCTTTTAAGAGTGCCACTCCCTGGGCTGATCGTATACAAACCACCACAAGTATGTAGCTGACTTTAGGCTAGATACTTGGAACACAATGACAAGCTAGACATGATCCTTCGGGGATCTGCCAATGAGATGGACAAAGAAGTGATCAATGGGAAATTTTTGAAAAACTGTGATAAGTGATACAGAAGGTGGATAGGATGCTCATGAGAAGGTGAGCGGGCATACTGCTGGAGGTGAGGGAGTCCAGGGGGAGAGTTGTCTCTGCGAATGTAGACACTGAATAGACTTGAGGGATGGGACAGCAGCAGCCACATGGAAAGTGGACCTCCATTGTAGCATTTCTATATTTCGTATTTCTCAGCATTTCTCTCAACATTGTAACTATTTTACTGTGTGATGCAGATGACCGATGTAAAGGAAGCGGGAGCAATGCCTATGTCCCATGACCTATTCTCCCACCGGTGCTCAATGGTCACGCTTCAGTGCCTTCTCCTCGCCTTTGTCTCTGAGCTCTTGGAATCAATCTTATCTGCTCTTATCAACACTGAGTTTTGGAGACAGATGCTGGAAATATTCAGCTCTGGATGTCCAAGAATTTGGACAGTCACTTGGAAGTCAAAAATGATTTCCAAAGGAAAGAAACTAACAGATTTTCTTCTTCTTCTTTTTTTATAGGCTAAATCCATTCTGCAGACATTCCTTGAAGATTCAGGCTACGGTATTCAGGATTTGAAGAACTTCCATTTGGTTGGGTTTGGTCCTACTCTATGTGCTATGGACCCCACTGAAATATCACTTATAAAGACCTCAGAATTCAGGTAACCAAAATACTAGAGTGTAAAGTGGAAAATGTTCCACTCACACATTCATCATCCCATCCATCCATCCATCCATCCATCCATCCATCCATCCATCCATCCAGATACTCTCCACTTTCCATTCTTTGTAGGCTAGAGTAGGCAGTAGGATTTGTGGATCCTGTATAGGTACTGAGATATGTATCCTCTGTGCACTGCTTGATGGCTGGAGAATCCCCCAGACTCACCAGACCCTTCCTCTCTACCCAGGGCAGTGGTAGCCAGAATTGGGACACTGCTCTGCAGCACCCCTGTCTTGACTGAATTTAAGAAGAAAGCAGAAGTTGTATTTGGGAGACCCACGGAGTGGACCAGCTCCATCTTGCAGGAGCTTGGGACCATCGCAGGTAAGAGGCTCTTGGGCACGTCCTTGCTCTTTAAATTTAAAATTGGAACTTAAGCAGAACAGAACCAAGTAGTAATCCTCAGCCACATGAAGCAGACATGAAGGAGTTCTAGTAGAATCTGGATGTCAAGACTGAAGTTGCAAGGGGCAGTATCCACTAGTCTGCATTCTAAATGAGCCATCTTAGGGATTCTTGTACACACTATAGCCTCAAAATTATTGATCTAGAATGTGATTCTATTGGGTCTTAAATAGATTTATACCCCATCCTAAAGTGTGTAAATGAACCCCCCCTCTGGGTATAAACACCACTGTAGGAGGCCAATCAGGGCTAATGTGACCCACATATTTTCCTGAGTTGATTAAGGAACTGGATTCCCTAGTTGGCTGTCTTGTGAGGTAAGGAATAGTACCTCCCCGGGACTCATTGATCTGTACATTATGCAGAACCATTAACAACACTGTAGAGTCCCACGGCTTGAGTGACACACTCACAATTCTTTCCCTAGCTGGGGTAACGAAGGCAGAGCTCCGAGTGCTTGACAAAGAACTGATGCCGTACTTCCAGCCGTCAGCCATAAGATGCCTGCCTGGTGAGGTGTTCAGAGTAAGTGCTCATTTCTTCGGGGAGAGATGGGAGCTGAGTCTCACTTCAGATCACACAGGGACACAGGTGATGGGCCTGGCTCCTTGAACCTTTGCTTTTAGGGACAGAGAAGATGTACGTGCCAATGATGGCTGTCCAAATAATTGCAAGTGTTTTTTGAAAGAAGTTTTTTTCCTTAAGTTTTCATTTTACCTTATTATTCTTTTTATCCTCCTTCCCCTTCGTAGCCTATGATACTGAGTGTGTATTTCTGGAGATATAACAACTTCATACCCTATGCAAAGCCCTTGGGGACAGATACGTTTCAGAATGCAGAAGGTTTCAAGTTTTGTAAAAGTCACAGTATGTGCCTTAACACCTCTAGCAGTGTTGGAGGGAACATTCATAAGCAAACATATTCTTTTTTTTTTTTTTTGAAGAAAACCTGACAAGTTACACTAAATACAGTGTAAATAGTCTCCTGCCCATTCAGGTCAAACTTCTGCTGGCTTGTTGTAAACTTTGGAAAAAAATTTCAGTTTTCAGAGCCCTTGGACTTTGGATTTGCAGACAGGCATCACAGGGTTTGAGAGGACAGGATGCTCTGATGAGTGGGGTTGACCTTGTGTTTGTGTGTGTGTTTGTGTGTGTGTGTTTGTGTGTACATGCATGTAGAAGCCAGAGAACAACCTAGGGTGTTGTTCCTTTGTTGCTCTCCACCCTTTTATTTATTTAGAAGATTAAAATTAATCATTTAATGTGTGTGTGTGTGTGTGTGTGTGTGTGTGAGCCATAGTGCACATGTAGAGGCCAGAGGACAACTTGAAATGTTTGGTCTCTCCTTCTACCATGTTAATCCTGGGAATCCAAGTTCAGTCCAGGCTTGGCAGTAGGTGCCTTTGTCCTGCTGAACTGTCTTACTGGACTCACCTTTTTCCTTTTAAACTTTGATCTTGAGTATTCTGCCTGCGTGTGTGCCTGAGCACCAGGTATGTGTAATGCCTGAGGAGGCCGGAAGAGGACACTCCCTGAGATCGGAGTCTGTGAATCCACTCTCTTTCATTGTTCAATCAATTGATTGTTCTCACTGAACTCCATCTCAACCTTGTATTCTCCGAGACCGAGGCTGTGACCTTGCATGTGGGTGCTGGCAATGGAGAATGGAACCTAGGGTTTTTGGAAGAGCGAGCAACAAAAGCTCTTAACTGCCAAGCCCCTCCCCACCCCATGCACACCTTGAGACAGCATTCTTCACTGATCTAGAATTCAACAAAGGGCTTAGGCTGGCTGATGAGGGACTTAGCTGGCTCTCTCTCCCTAGTGCTGGATACTGGCTGAGGTATCTCCCTACCCTTTTCCATTTTTGAGATAATGACTTAATATATTGTTCAGTTTTCGTCAGCTTGGTATGTAGCCCAGGCTGGTCTCAAACACCATCCCGTCTGAGTCTCCTGAGTCCTAGGATTATATTGGTATGTGCTGCTTTTCTTGGTTCAGTTTTGTTGCTGTTGCTTTCTGAGTGACACAGGGCCGCATCCTGCCTACTTCACTTGGATGCTGGATGCCTACAACACTTCTGCACCATGGGCAACTATTTGGGGGAAATAAACAGCTGGCCTCAAGGCCACTGCATTAGTTACTTACTTGTTGCTGTGACAAACAACACCACGACCAGCAGACAGACAGAAGGAACTTCAGGGAGGAGGGGTTTATTTCAGCTCAGGGTGTAGTGGGTGTGGTCCAGCATGGCAGTTGGGTCACTCAGTATGTGTCAGACAAGAAACAGGGAGGAGACTAGAGTTAAGACCAGACTGTAATTCTCAAGGCCCACTAGTGCTATACATCCAGTGGCCTACTTGCACAGAATGGTTCCCAAACCTGCCAAGTGCTATCAAACTGAGCACACCAGAGAGGGACATTTCTGACTCAAACCATTATAGCCACTGAGCAAGTTCTTCGTCCCTGGGCACACTGCACTGGGAGGCAGCAAATCAGCACTTCCCAAGTACTCCCAGAGCATTTCCCAAGTACTTCCTTCTGGTCATGTTTATAGTTAGGGCAGCTTCTTTGTTCAAGCAGTTGCCTACTGCTGAAATTTCTATTTCATCTACATCAAGACACGATCCAGGTTAGATACATCTGGAGTCTGGAGATTCTTTGGTGAAGAGGTTATAGCACGAAACCTTCCTTTGGACCGGGGAGGTGATGTCAAGGTTGGATGTGGCCTGAGCTGAGCCTGAGAGGCCTGGTTACAGGGGAAAGGGTGTGTGTGTGTGTGTGTGTGTGTGTGTGTGTGTCTCACCCCAGATACATCAATGCTGTGTGACCACATGGGCCTAGTGTTGCTGGATCTTCTTTACTTTTTTTCAGGGGCAACCAGAAACCTTCATTTTTATGTGAAATCTCCTGATTTTACATGTTGGTAGCCAATTTGAATTTATTTTTGAAAACACTATAGGCCTAAGGATTCAATCTGGCTTGTGGATCACAAATCAGCAGCAGTGGAAAAACAGATAATGTTTGTAATACAGGCTCTGTTAATGAGAGGTGTGAGTCAGCCTGCCAGCTACAGAGGGAAGGACAGTGCCCCCGACAGGAGGAAGGGCACAAAGAGCTGCTTCCTGTTTGGGAGAATGCAGATCTTTAGGCCTGGAGGGAAGGTCAGGAGGAGAGGCAGGCTCAGGAGGAGAGGCAGGTAGGTAGGACTCACATCCTGAAGGTGCCATTGTTGTGCTGAAGAGCCTGAGCTCCTGGTATGGTAGTGGATAAATCATGGAAGGATTGGAAGCAGAATTCTATTTCAGGAGCCATCTGTTGTGACAGGAGGAAAGTGAGTGATCAATGGGAAAGGAAGGGATAAAGGAACAGAAGTATGTGGATTCCTAGATTTTGGAGGATGCTTTAAAACAGCCAGAAGATGCCAGAGGCTCTTCTGCCATGCCATCCCCTCCTAGTCTTCCTGGAGCTAGCCACTAAGTCCATTTGAAGAGAAAATATCTTGTACACTGAGAATCACCGTGTGCCCAGCAGAGTCCCCCACATCTGCTGTCCATGGCAGCCAATCAGTCAGTCAAACAATCATGGCCCTTGACTACCACTGAGCTACCAGGAGTCATCAGTCAACCAGGATTCTGATAGTCATGCCAAAGGGACAGGGATTGGCTTTGGAAGTGAGATCTCTCAGCTACCTCAAAGTCACCGAAAGCCTAGAGAGGTGATATAATCTATGGGGATCATACAGCTGGTGGGCCTGCAGATTCAGGCTGGCATTCAGGCCAGAGCCTGCTTCCTCTGGTGCAAAGTAATTACCAACACTCACATGGAAAGCCAAGACCCCTTTTAATTACTTCAAGGAAAAGTCTCAGCTTGGAGCGAGAACGGCTTAATACTCTTGTAGTACTTAAAAAAAATTCTCTCATGCTCTCTTTTTAAAGAGGCTCAGAGTTCAGCTGCTGTTGGTGGACAAATCAAACGGGTTCAAATATAGTTTCCTTCAGCCTCTATTTAATGTTTGCTTACAGTCATGGTGCAAGGATATGACAAAGTTGTGAAGCTCTGAGTAGATAAAGGAGGTTTGGAAAATCTGGAGAGGGTATACTGAGGTTCCCCTCCCCCACCCGCTCCTGACTTTCCTGCCTGCAGGAGCTGTCCACGGAGCAGATAGCTTCCCTGGGTCCTCAGAATGCAGCCTTTGTAACCCACTCCCAGCGCCTGCAGCTCAGCTCGGCACAGCTGCAGAGCCTCCAGAGGGCACTAGATGGCGCCAAGACTCACTCCTGGCAGACGGATCCTATGAGTTCCGGCCCTACCTGGTCAGTCTCCACTGGGTCCCCAACAGGTGAGCAGAGCAACACCTGCCTCAGCCCCCTCCCTATTCCCCTTCTCTGAAACTTGGCCCACCCTGCAAGGTGGGGAGGTTCCTATGATTCAGGGATTGATGGACATTGGGTATCTGCTCTCAAAGATACACCTTAAGTTCCCACCAAGTTTCCTTTAAACACAGTCAACTCTTGCATCTTTAAAACCTCCTCAGGGATCTTTAAAAGACTTTAAATTCCCTGGGTATGGCCCATAATCCACCAAGTCAGAATCTCTCAGGACTAAATTCATTTCAATGACTCCTTCAATCACTGTATATCTCTTTGATACCTATTATGTAGGGACCAAGAATATTGATAGAAGTAGGGCAGGTGACGCCTCGTTGTCAACAAGATCTCAAAGCCGTAAGATGAGGGAGGCAGTAAGCAGGGGCAGGTGATGTCGACTGAGGACTAAGCAAGATGGGGAGGAGGGGGAAAGGAGGAGTGAGGGAATGAAGGAGGGAGGGAGGGACAGTTCCCCAGAGCAGATGCCATTACCCATGATGCTATGACTTCCTCTTCTCACTTTAGTTGACTCCTACCCTCTGACTCTCACTCTCTCACGTCTTCCTGACACCCATCTTGAGTGGGTACCATCTTTGGAGCAGGTGTGGGTCTATACTTCTGGGCAGACAGTTTAGAGGAAGCCGGATGCATCACAACTTTGCCCTCACAAACTCGGTCACGGAAGAGTGAGAGAAGACAGGGTGTCGGTATGACTCTGAGGCCTGTGGTAGAGAGAGAGGATGACGAGGCAGGTTGCATCCTAAGTAGGGGATAACCTGAAAATACTCAGACTAGAAAGAGAACTTGGTTCCTAAGTAGGACTTCCTTCCATTTCTTCCTCTCCCTGTCTCCTTCTCTTCTTTTCCTTAATTAACAACTCCCATATTCACTCCTCTCTTGAAGTATGCATGCATACTTTGAATGCATGTAGCTTTAAACATATAAGACCTGAAAGTTATGTGATAAACCTTTTCCCTGTGTCCTCCGTTCTTCTCTCCAGGGGTAGCTAATATTGTCAGTACCTGATGTATACCTACATAGTCTATACAGATACAATTAAGTCAAGTCTGCACGAGCCTTGCACTTTTACAAGGGCTTATTGTATCCTTGTCCTGAATCCTGCATCTTTTTTTGGATCTGTGGATCTGACGGTACCTCTCAGAGGCATTCCGTGCCCTCTGTGGGAACAGAACAATGGCTGGTTATACGGTTGAGCCTTAAGTGCATAACCAGACTTGTATGTATAGGTTCTCAGTTGGGTTATCATGTTTTCTGTTACAAATAATGCGGCTGTGCAATTTTGCCAGTGGCAAGTACTCTTAAGTTAAGAGAGATTGTCAAATCCTCTGTAGAGAGGTAGGTATCAGTTTTTTCTTGAAACAGCAATGTCAGAAAGGGGCAAAGCAAGACCCTAATGCCCTTCCTCCATTTACCCTTCAGCCCCCCAAACCCAGGCTGCTATCGGGTGAACCCTTTTTTGGGAGCCCAACCATTTCTATATTTCTTGTTTCTTAAACACCAGAGAGTGATGCTTAAGTGCAGATTCTCAGGCCTCACCCAATAGTTCCTGAATCAGCAATGCGCCCAGGCACCAGCAACTTGGATACACTCTGTTCCCTGACTCCTTTTGATTAAGGCAGGTCTGGTGCATGCTGAATCACACAATCCCATTTTGTTCCAGTTCCTCTATCAGGCCCTTTTAAGAGATGGGGAAATGGAGGTCTGCAGGGAGCTGGCCATGATGCACCCACCCTCTGCAGTCCACAGCAACTTCACGGGCCTTCTTGTCCTGTGTTTGATTTCAGGAGGGGCCACCTCCCAGGCTCTTTGGCTTGGCTGTCCCCTGCTGCTTCTGATGGCCAAGTCCTGACGCCGAGTGTCCTGTTTAGTGTTGCAAGAAGCTGGAGAAGGTGTGTAGAGACAGAGGCTGCCTTCAGACTGGGGAAGACCTTTACCTGAGGCGCCTCAGCAAGGGCAGGGAGATCACAGGGCCTTGGAAAAATAATTATTAAAAACCATCTTGCATTCTTAAGACAGCCTGTCTCCCCAGTGGGTACTTTTTTTCCATCCCATGTTGACTTGGAGACAGAGAAGCTGTGGTGATGGAAGGATGAGGGGAAAAGAGAGAGAGAGAGAGAGAGAGAGAGAGAGAGAGAGAGCAAGAGAGAGAGAGAGAGAGAGAGAGAGCCAGAGAGCCCTTTTAGCAAGGGGGTGATTTTGTTTCCAGTCTGGCTTGATGTCCCTCCCCTGGAGCACCAGGCAGCGTTGGATTTCTCCTTCGACACTTAGCTGGGCTGAAATAAATGAATCTCTCAACAGAAGCCAATATTCCTGCCTGATTGCTGCAACTAATTGATGTTTTGGTGGGTATCACATTGCTTGGAAATTAAAACATTTAACATGGCTCAACATTAAATCAATTTTTAAATACATTTTCCAGATGTTTCCATTTCCTTGGGAATCAGTGGAGTTACAAGTTAACCTTTCTAAACATTTTTAGTTTTAGTGGAGGGTGTGGTTTTAATCTGCTCTGGGCTTTGGTGAATGGACTGAAATAAAAAGATATAAAAATATATTGGATATGTCAATCATTGAAGCGATTTCTGACCAGTGCAGGAAACCCAGCCCCTCCCTTCACCCCACTTGAACCTTTTGGGATAAACTTATTTCTAGAAATTGCCAAGTTCTTTTGGTCTTAGTGACAAGAAGTTGGAGCAACAGAAAGGGTGGTGCAGCACTGGCATTCACCACCTACTGGAAGCCATATCATCTACAAGGTGACCACTGTGCCACTTGGCATTCCTCATGTGGTAAGCGGAGGTGTCCTGAGTCTCTCTCTCTCTTTAAAAACTATTTATTTTTTATTTTATGATGATTTGCCTGTATGTGTATCTGTGTTCCACATGTATGTATATCTGTGTTCCTCATGTGTTCATGGTAGGCCAGAAGGGGGAGTTGGATTTCCTGGAATGGGAGTTACAGATGGCTGTGAGCTACTGTGGTAGTCTGAATAAAAATGTCCCCCATGGGAGTGGCATTATTGTAGGTGTGGCCTTGTTGGAGTAAATGTGTCACAAGGGGCGGGCTTTAAGGTTTCAGAGGCTCAAGCAGGGCCCTAGTGGCTCACTCTCTCTTCCAGCTGCCTGCTGATTCAGATGTAGACTTCTCAGCTTCCTCTCCAGAACCATGGCCTGTGCATTGCCATGCTCCCCGCCATGACAATAATGGACTAAACCTCTGAAACTGTAATCCAGACACATGAAACGTTTTCCTTATGAAGAGTTGCCATAGTCAAGGTGTCCCTTCACTTCAATAGAAACCCTAACTGAGCAGCAGCCATGTGGATCTTCTGTAAGAGCAGCTAGTGCCCTAAGCAGCCATCTCTCCAGTCTCCATCCTGGGTTACTCAGCGAGTCCTTGCTAGGCATTGCCATTTGAAGAGGAAGATGGAAAGGGGAGCCAGTGTGAGCCTTCCCAAACTTGTGGTTGTTTCCTAAGAAGCTGAGGGAGTCCTATGAAGGCTGTTGTTGTAGGAGCTGGTAACTGTCATCTGTGGTTCCATGGAAAACTGGAAGACTACCATGTAGCAGAGGTGCTCTTAGGCCATTTGAGGTCCTGTTTGCTTTTCTTCCATCTAAGTGAGGAAGTGCAGCAAAGGCTGCTTTCCAAGCACAGATTGCTTCTTCCATAGACAGCAGCAGTTCCTGGTTTCACTGGGTCAGACCCACTGCGTGGACAAGCATGATTGTTGAACTGAGCAGCGTCCCTTCAGAAAGGCACACTGGTCCCTCAGGTGCCAAGTCTAGCAGGCCCCAGAGGGGTGAGGATGATTGCAGGAAAGACAGAAAAGAAGACTCAGAGACAAAGGTTAGAAATCAGGAAGGCTGTCCAGTGAACTCTGCGGCAGCCTCCAGGTTAATTCTCATAGGCTATAAACCTTACAGCATTGTGGGAAACAAAGTCACAAGTCAGCAGAGACAATGGCTGACGTATATTGGATATCTATTCCAATCCAGAGGGCCTCCCTGTTCCTTCCTTCAAGATTAACAGAACATCAAGCCCCTCACCATGAACATCAAGTGTCTCCCCTCTTATCGTTGTATGCAGCAGCAGGCCAGGAAATCACCAGCAGACATGGCTTGATTTGACTTTGCCTGACAGGCAGACTTTCAGAGAATCAGGCAAAATGGCTCCTTGACACCTTGGTAGCCAGCTGTCCCCACTTCCTATGGCCTTGGCTATCCTGGAAAACAATAAAAAGCTCTCTCTTGGTGTGTTTCTGTGTGTGAGCCTGTATTATGTGCAGGTGTGCATTCATGTTTGTGAACTCGTGTGTGCATCTGGAGGCCAGTCTTGAGGGTCTTCCTCAATCACTGTCAACTATGTCGTTGAGACAAGGTGTCTTGTTGGAACTCTGATTTGGCCAGGCTGCAGGTGACCAGTGAACTCTGATGTTTCCACCTCCTCAGAGCTCAGACACCACACGTGAGTTTTATTTTATTATTTTTAATTTTTGCAACTTATGTTTTCATTAAAAATTTAAAGTTACAATATAATCTCATCATTCTCTCTTCCCTTCCCTCCCTACTTTAGTTCTTAAAAAAAGGTGTGGGTTCTGGGGCTTGAATTCAGGTAAGACGTGGCAAGCAGTGTCTTGACTGAGCTTTCTGTTTAGTGTCCTCCATTTGTGTGTGTGTGTGTTTGTGTATGTGTGTATGTATGTATATGTGTATGTTTGTGTGTTTGTGTATGTGTATGCATGTGTGTGTGTATGTATGTGTGTATGTGTACGTTTGTTTGTGTATGTGTATGTGTGTGTGTGTGTGTGTATGTGAACGTTTGTATGTTTGTGTATGTGTATACGTGTGTGGTGCATGTGTGTGTGTGTGTGTGTGTGTGTGTGTGTAGGGGGAGGTGCTCACAGGAACACTCCAACATGCCTGCCCACAGCTTCTGATTTGATCACTGATTTCTGACCTCTCTGGTCACCCCTCTCCCCTGGATAATCATAATGACTCTCCATCATAATAACGGCAAGCTGACCTCATCAGGCTGTTCAGAACTGTCACTGTATGGCTAGCTCATTTCACGGTCTTCCAGGACCTTCCTGGGTGGGTCCTGAGATGATTCCCCTTTGCAACACGAGGAGACTGAGCCCCAGAGAGGTTAAGGAGCTCTGACAAAGGCCTTCTACTTAGTAGGGGACCAAATCCTGACTCTTCACCTCTGTGCAATGCTACCTCCTGAATGGGTGACTTTAACTTCTCTAATAAGTTAGATCAGAGAAAGATTCTGTAAATCCCTTCACCTCCTCTTCTGGCAGGAGGCCAGCTTGCCTCACAGCACAGATAATTGGTGATGGCCTCAGGCAGAAAGACAAATCTAGCTTGTGCCCTGCAGGACCCCCGGGGTGTCAGGCAGAAAAGAGTCCCTTGCACACAGGGAAGCAGCAGGTCACACTGGCAGGTGCTGTCCCATTCACCTTTCAATGTCAGCCCTCCCAGTGGATTCCCAGCCTCCACCTCCTTGCAGGTTTGTGGGTGGATGCAGGGATGGAGGTCATTTGGGCTCCGATGAGGGGTATTCTGCTGACCATGGTTCTGACTGGGCCGGACATGTGCCTTCCTTAATGCCTTAAGGGTTATTAACCATTTTGAATATCATCCAGTAGATCTTTTTTTGCTGGGAGTAGGGGGAGGCTCCACTTTTAGGCTACTTGGATGCTGAGCCTGGATTGTTGAGGGCTGGAAATCTTTTCTGCAACCTTAGCCTGCTAGCTAAGGGAAGCTGAACTCAGGTTTTTTTTTTTTTTTTTTTTTTTTTCTCTAGTTCTGGTACCCAGAGGGTTAGCCACAGTAAATGGTGATGGGCTGTACTGCCAAAGAGAGGTTGAGCTGCTTGTGTGAGAGAGGAGGTCGGGGAGGAGACCTATGCTCGGCTTTGTTGAAGAAATACATCATGGATGAGAGTGACAAATTCATGTCAACTAGTTGTTGCTTTGACCTTAAAAGGACGTTGTCCTTGGGGCTGGAGAGATGGTTCACAGGATAAAGGCCGCTTTTGCTTTGGCAAAGGCCCCAAGTGCAGCTCTCAGCACCCACATGGTGGCTCACAAGTGTCTGTAACTCCATTTCCATTGGACCAAACACTCTCCCACCTCCAAAGACGCTAGGACCACGTGTGATATACAGCTACACACCCATACACATCAAATAAAGTTAAAAAGAAAAAAAACATTGTCCTGCCTTTCCTCTTGAGGGACCTCAATTGTCTGTCTGTCTGTCTGTCTGTCTGTCTGTCTGTCTGTCTGTCTGTCTGTTAAAATCTGACCTAAGGTTCATGGCCTAGGTGTGGTATCAAGCACTTGTAAGCTCAGTATTCCAGAGGCTAAGGAAAAGAATTGTGAGTTCAAGGTCAGCCCTGGCTATATAGTGAGACTCTATTTCAAAAGATCAATATATTCTGAGAAGGTAAGAACTGTAGGCTGCACAGCACACTCACCTGGGACTTTTACAGAGACCAGCCTGCAAATGACCATTTTGGATGTCTGGTGACTCTGGAGACCCTCCAGTCACCGTGGGCAGTTTAGTATGTGCTCCCTGCCTTCACAGCCTCAGGTGCTGGCTAGTCCAGAAAAGGAGGTGAGTCCTTCCCGACCCATGGTCCTATCTATAATCACTGGTAAGTGGGTCATATTTACTATAGCCCCCTTCCTGGGCAGTACTGGGGCAAGTCAAGATTCTGGAGACACAAGGAGCATAGCAGAGCTGTCAAGAGAGATCTGATGTGGGGAATTCCTTCCAGCCTCTGAGATCTTCTGGCAAATTCCTCTATGTAGTGGATTACACAGTACACTCAACAATTCTGCCTACTCCCTTTGGTAGGACCGTTTGCCTGGGACTTTGATTCTGTGAGACAATAATGTCTCATTAGATGAGTCTACATCTCTACCCAGCTAAATTTAAGATTTGGCCACTGCAGTGTGAGTAGACATGACATAATCTAATAGATTTTTAAAATGTGCATGTCAGATATTGCTTGCCTCTTCATGGGAAGAGGCACATGGATCAGAAGTGAACTTAGTCTCTAACAATGAGACAAGTCTAACCCAGCTAACCACAGCCACGCCCACTGAAACCTTAGTAAAGCCAAAGACTCCAGCAAGTGGTTAACATTGGCTGTCTGCACAGGGAAGGTTCTTTTCTATTACTAGGTAAATGACACACCTCATCTCTTGAATTTTCCTTCCTGCCATCTACTCGGCACATTCCTCAAGCACCTCTGTTTCTTAAAAAGTGCTGTACTACTCGATAGTGGATAATGGTCCCTCACTACCTCCCACACCCAATTATTTCCCATCTCTCAGCCTAGGAGCCCTAGAAATCAGGTCCCAGAGGGAAGTTGGGTTAGGGTGCATGCGTGTAACATGGAAGTTCCAGGACTGGCTTTGTATCTAAAACCTCACTGAACTACTCCACTCGGAGCACCCTCTGTTCCAACAACCAGTCCTTCAGCCTCTACAGACTAATTTTTTATTCAGCTCTTGGAACAGAGAAGGAACCTCCCTTTCCTTTGGGAAATAAAGTGGCTAGCCATCTTAAAATGATGGGAGAGAAGCTGTATAAAGGAGAGGAATTCAGAAATGAACTAAGAGGGCTGACTCAATGGCTCAGTAAGTAAAGTCTTAGCTTTGCAAACATAAGACCTGGGTCTTACCCCAAAATCCACATAAAGAGGTTGAATGTATGCTTGCAGTTCCAGATACATGTAGGGGTGCAGATA